CCATTTACTTCTAAATTTTATATTTATTGCCCAGTTTTAGAGAAAATTCTAATTCACATACTACACAATTGCAAATATTAACAATATTATAGTATTTATCACATTATATGCATTTCAGCATATGTACATTTGAGAGAAGTTTAACATAAAGTTAAAGACTTCTGAATTAATGTTTGATCATGTTTGCTACATGCTTGCTAAAGAATAGTTAATTATTCCCATTTTTGCTCTCTGTGTGATTTCTGCAGAGTTTTACTTAGATTTAATAGTGTTTTCTTGCTTTGTAGTTGTTGGGTAATTCTTGTTTGAATGTTCTTAAACCTTGGGTCTTAAGCTATGCAGCTGATTTAACAATCACAGAAAGCATTTCATACTCCCTTAAAAGAACAAATGTCTCATTAATCTTACATAATTTGAGAGTCTTAAAGAGTTTTATCTGCATAAATTAAAGTGAAGAGAAATTAATCTCGCATTTATAAAATATTCAAGTGACCTATATCATAATAAAGAAGTGGTTTTTTATCAGCCTGGAAAAAAATTTCTGAAACTTCAGGGAGTTTTAAAAATCTGCCCACATGACAATCAATAGCAGGAAAGTGAAACTGGAGCTTTTCACTCACCTTAAATTAATTGTTACCTCGAGGGTGCATTTAAACCACCATTAGTATTATAAACAGACATTGCAGATATCCAAATTTATCATGAAAAGCCAAGTGTGGAAACTTTTGGTTAAACCTATAAATTTTATTTTAATCTGGGCATTTAGAGAAAGGCTTAAGGGAATATATATTTTCAGAGCATGTTTTATTCATTGCTGAGCTCCCATGCCTAGCATAGTGCCTGGTATATAGTAGATAACAAATATTCACTAAAGGACCGAGGACTACTTTTCCAAGTGCAGGCCATGAAACTGATTCCAGATAATGCTCCATGGTCTTTGAACTCAGACTCCGTCAATAAAAGACAGAGTGAAATGCACAGTGAAAGGTGCTCTGTACCCTCAGTTTCAGAAGATGACAGACAAGAAGGTTGCATAGACAGAGTGGAAATGATTGTAACAGTCACTAAACCAGCTTGTGTCCTGGTTTGTACTTGTCATAGCTATCTTTGCAGCTAGCTCTGCTTGGCATGCAAAATGTTAATATTTTAGTGCTGTTTGAGGAAGTTCCAAGTCAGGTAATTTAACAGAGGAACTAAACCTCACCAAAAAAATGTACAATGAGTAGGAAGGAAGAAAAACCACACAATTGGGACCAATGGAATAGAGTGTGCCTTAGATAAATATCCTTTCCTTCCCATTCTTTTCAGTGTTCTTCCTCTATTCCATCACCCTCCACTCCATCTCTTTTAACTCTGCTTTTGAAAGTATCTTTTCTTAGGCATAAACCAGATTCCAAAGCTGCTAACTTACTTGGGACATCCAAAGTTCTGGGCTAGTAAGAGATTTAATTACAGAATTCTAACTTCTATTGAGTTTTACTTGAGTGATCTATGTAACTGACTTTAGAAAGCCAGGTAAGGATTAATACCACAGGAAAATTATTTAATCTAGACAAGTCTGTCATGCCAAGATCTGTGAATCTTCCTCCCATGCAAACAAAGACTTCTCCATGGAATTCTATGGTACCTCCAACTTGAGGTCATTCTTTCCATCAAGTATCACATCTAATAGAATGACTTGAGAGATGGCAACATATAAAAAGGATGCTTGAGAAGAGAATGCTGTTGAAAAACTTTCCCAAGTTTCCTTTATGCATTTGTAAGTGATTCTAAGAATACTGGAATTCCAAGAATATACTTGTAAATTGATTTCAGTAACTGCCTACTTCCAAAAAAGATGTAAGACAACTCACAGTGAAAACCTAAATAAAAATATTTAACACAATCAGAAACAGGGAACAAAAGTTAGAAAGATGAGAGGAAAAATAATTCTTAAATTCTGTTGAGGTGATGGAGCACAAAACTTAGTGGGTAATTTCTTATTCACCAGAGACCAAATAAAATAACACACTGGGTGTCATATCTCTCAGTTTTGAGCTAAAGAGAACATACCAGTACTTCAGCAACAATAAATATTTATGACAGGGAGGGAGGG